GGTATTGAAAGTAGACATTAACTTAAGAGCTAGTGTTTGATTTATATTTGAAATCAGAGATAACTATGAAAAGTTTGAGTTCTTTAACATTGACATCCATCTTTTTTATTGCAAAAGCATCTGTTTTAAAATGCATGAATGGATGGACAATTTCATCTTTTTCGCAAAACTTAAGTATTATCAGAACGATCATTTAATTCTGTTCAAGAGGTTTATCTTTATCTCTGACGTTATGATACTATTACTTCAAAATACAAATTAACTTAATTTCCTCAAAGAACATGCAGATTTTATAATTAAAAATTGCTGGTGTTTATTACTATTATATCAGAGTCGGAAATCTATATTACACAACTATTATCTGACAGAAATACTGTTAACTAGTTACGTCGTTCTTACAAAGAATGCGAAATCAAATCTTCGATTGAATTTCACAATAATATTACTGACATACATCTGCAATTAATATTGTAATTTGTTATAAACGTTTTGTAACTTTCTTTGCTTCTTGCACAGTAGTTTCCAGACTTTTTTTTTTAAATGTTCTATGAAGAAAATTTAAGATGATGTTCCTTTGTTACGCCCTTTCTGTATAATTACACCAGCTTTTCATGATGTGTACGAACTAATATACACTTAAAAGATGCATGGTAATTGGAAATATTGGGAAAATGTAGCATTGGTCTTCTTGATATAAATGTGGATGTTTCTTTCGTATGTCTTACCATTAAAAAATTATATTTGTGTGTCGTATTCCCTCAGGCTAAGGGACATGATATAAACAAAATGACTATACTCTTTACTCAGCCTGTTTAGGAAGGTAATGGGAAATGTTATTTTAATACTCCCTCACTATAGATTACTTTTCATAATAAATGTATCATTAGTAATTATATAATCACCCATAATGATAGATTTGTGTCGTATTGGTATGAAATTAGAATTGTTAGACTGATGTACAAAATTGCACCAGTGCAAGAGAATTCAGATGTTTTTGGCCATCGAAATTGATACACGTTAAAAGAAATTTATATTTTCTATCTGAAAAGTGCTAGGAGCAAATTTGTGCTGCACTTATTTAGAAAGTACTCGTAATTTGGTCGAGAATGGCGTGTAATAGCATAAAATTCCCGCTTCACTTCTACATCATATGAATTTAAGAAAATGTTCTACAAACCAGAATCAACTCTTAACACCTTTTAGAATGTACATGAAATAAGCAATGTAGTGTATGGCCTTGCACTTTTGAGGTTTATCAGGAGTATGTTTATCGCTTTCGTGATTTTCTATACATTCCCTGTCGCTGTGCAGCTTTTGAATGTTTTGAGAAATTAATTATGTACGATATTGTTACGGAGAAATCCTTTGTTTGCATTCTATTGATGAGATTTAAAAATTGACGATGATTTAATAGTTTGTAAGATTTTCGTAAGCTATCTAAAACACGTTGAATCCATTTTGACAAAATGTTAGGAAATTTGTCCCTAAGATAAACATTTTTTAGGTAAATGATAGCATGAGGCTAACAATAAGGTTGCTGGATTTTTTAAAAATGTTATCTGCCTTTATCCTCTTCCCTATGACAGCATAAAAAGTTATCTCAGTATTCTGTCAGGAGAGATCATGCTGAATTATAACGCACAAATTGTAATTTCTCTAGTTTGTGTGTTCTTTTAAGATTGCCATGCTATGAGATGGTAGGCGCTCTCTGAATGTACTTTTTTCGACAATGTGGAGCTGGAGTATTGTAGATTCAGGAAATATTTTTTTTTTAAATCTGACATCTTTATGTAAAAGTTTATTGTCTAAACTCACACAAACGATAATATATGAACTAATAAAAAGATAGAATCAGCATCGTTGCCCACACTGGGAGTATTGTGTTAATACGTTTGAACCATAATGTACTAAACCATATGGATAGGCTTTTCCTTAGGTTTTTTAATTTCTTATAAAATTTGTAATCCAGAAAATATTGTTTTGAAGCTACTAACATTATTTACTAATTTTCAAATATATCTCTCTTAAGTATGTATTCTGATAAGATAACTTGAATTACTTTTTTTTAAATTTTAGCTGTTCAATTCCATGTACCGGTATTTACTTGACACAATGTACGAAAGAGAAAAATATGACTCTTTGTGAGATACTAGTACATGTATGAGGCGTTCTAAATATTGCGGAAGACCAGAGTTCTTGTGATTTTTCATAGATTTAAATGGAACAAATTATTTCTGTAAAACCTGATGATCTGGATTTAAACTTTGCTTTTATATTTTTGGAAATATCTTCAAAATCACAAAGAATTATTATGCCAATATAGGACAAAGTTTCCTCTTTCATACACTGCAAGTACCTTGGGTATCACCAGAATATGAGAAATTAAAAAAAAAATCATGTATGAAATTATATTACCCTATTGTGCGCATATTTCTGCCAAACATATACTTAATATATAAAAATAAACTTAATTCCAGTATCTTCATACTTTTTTTACATATCGAGATTATCTTTAATGAACATTCTTCACTAGCTTCATTCTGGTGTTTCTTGCTTCAGTAATTGCTGAAAGATTTTGACATATTTACGTCTTGCTAACTGATATCCAGGAAAGTTGAAACGTCACTTCTGTTAACAGTGAGCAAGGAAAATCCATATATTTGTGTTATCATAAAAACTGGTGTTTGCTTTTTCGATCTTAAAAATCAGAGATGTATTTGAATAGTTCGCATTATCTAACATTGACTTTAATCTTGCCATGTTGTATTGCAGACATGTTTGAACACGCACGAATGGATAAACATTTTCACGAGTTTTTAAACAACAGCTTAATCAGGATGGGTCATTTAATTTTGTGTCAATGACAAGAGATTATTTCTGACAGAAAGAATTGTACATTTACAGATTAGGTTAATTAACCCAAAGAGTAAAAATGTAGATCTGTAATCTAATTCAACATACTGGTGATTATTTTCTATCATAGCAAAGACTGAAAGTTATACAACATTACTGTTGCATGAAACGAATACTTGTTTTTTTTTTTTTTTTTTTTTTTTTTTTTTTTTTTTTTAAATTTTATAAACAACGTCGCTTTTTCTCATGAAAGAATGAGACTTAAGCTTGAACTGAATAACTTTTTCCTCCTTATTCAACTCGTGTTTGAACCCATCATGCAGTGATCTTTCCTTCACCAGCGGTTTTGTGATTTGTACAAACTCGAACATTCAGGAAAATGGGACAATGCAGACCTTTGTTCTTGAAAATATTTCCTGATTTTTTCTTAGCACGTTTTCCTCTTTCGATTTCTTTTAAAAAAATTATACAGTATCAACAGTCTCATTTAAAGTCATCATTTCGCAAGTTCTATGGTCGAGACAATGACCTTGTCAGCAAATACAATCTTTCATTAAATCAAATGCTGACTAGCGTTTTTCATACTAACTGTTAGGTCATTATTTACACACTGAATAGTCTACTACAGATTTTTTTCCCGTTTTTACCGATCATGACAAGGAGCACACGGCGAGTGTGACGGGTGGGAAGGGGATGCTCACTCCTCCATGGCACCTGATCTCACATCTGATGGACATGTGTTAGAGGTCCGTGTTTGCTCTACTCCTGATTTTGATGGACTTTTGAGCTTGAATACTGTTTGTTATATCCATATTTCACACAGTATATATTTTCATTTATGGCCCAGGGCACATGATTTAAACAAATTAATTCTATTCTCCATTATTGCATTTTGGTGAAATGTTAGAAAAGAATTGAAGTAGTTACGGTTTTAGCTTTTTTAAGCCCAATTAAAATTTAATTATTTCAAAAAAATTTGAAATTTGCATCAATATGAGTTGAATATTTGAATATAAAAATTATGAAAATATATGGCATAAAGGAGGATCGTTCTGGAAATATGAAGTTTTTGTAACAGAAAAGCCTCAAAATAACTCATTTTAGGGGTTATTAACTGTTAGAAAATAGTGTCCGAAGCCGTCACCCAGTTCAGTTTTCGGGTATGTTGTGTAAAAAACTCTTTTATTAAATCCTATTTCTTAAATTTTTTGTGGACAATGCATGTCGTCAATACTGTCTAAAAGAAAATTCAACTGAAAATTGTCTTCTGCTTCTTTTTAAGAAAATAGAGAAAATGCACAAGTTCATGACGTCACATTTGGTACTTAAGAGATCATATGAGAAAACTAATTTTAATGATTTTACGTCAACGTTTTTAACAATGAAGAAAACATGCACTAAGTATCGTTTTTAAAAGGGAAGGGGGCAGCCACAGAAAAAAAATCAACTTATCTGGAAAAACTTTGACAAGGAAAAAAGAAAAAAAAAAGAAGAAGGACAAAATTGTCCAAACTCGGAAATCCTATTGTTCCTCCTTTTCTTTATGGACACGTCATTATTGGTGATGTTAATATAATTGAAAATGACTACCTAAAAGCTATCATTTTAAAAGGTCCTAAATTCAGGGAAACCCAGTCTTCCATTTGGCGGCAGAACTTCATTTCTATTTAAAATTCTGTCGATGATTATATTATAATGCAAAATTCACATGATAAAAAATAACTTGCTAAAGGAAAACTGATTAAGACAGAAAAAAATAAACTAATTCCAGCATCCTTATTGTGGTCCTCATTTGCCTTTAATCTGTTGGATTTATATTTATCTCAGCAACAAACAACAAGTTACAGCTTCAAAACAAATCTTATACTGTTTTTTAATGGGATATTGTTGTAAGAAATGAAAACTCATGCTTTCTCAGGGACATAGTGTCGAGGGGTGGGGGGACATGTATATATATATATATATATATATATATATATATATATATATATATATATATATATATATATATATATATATATATATATATATATATATATATATATATATATATATATATATATATATATATATATATATATATATATATATATATATATATATATATATATATATATATATATATATATATATATATATATATATATATATATATATATATACAAAACATGACTGGTCAATATTCATAGTATGCACTGTGAACTAGTTACAGATATAGTTATATGAGAAAACCGGAAAATGTAGTCATGGGTCCATCGCTGTGAGTGTAATAACCAGTACCAGAGTGATGCTTGACCCATACTGCGTCTCCCTTCTGAATAGCTAGTACCACCATATTTGGACCTGCGTCATAATAATCACCAGTACCGGTACTATAGGCTAATGTTCTGACTTTTGTCGATCCATTTAACACAATATCTGCATGAATTTGTTGTGTACTATAACTTTGAACATTCACAAAGAAGACGTACATCCCGTCAGTAGGAGCAGTAAATATTCCGTTACTCGGGTTGTATCCATTACCTTCATTTGTGATGACAAAAGGGAATATCAGGGTTCCTCTGTTCCACGAAGTATTGTATGACGTCACTGCAGCAGTGAAACATACCTTCTTTGTCTTTCCTACAATAACGATAAAAGTTTTATGATTGTGTTTAGAAGAATATTTTAGTTATTTTGATGGATTATGTTGAGAAAGTGTTATTTCGGACATAACATGAAAAAAAAAATTGAGGCTTAATTAAGAAAAAGACAATTAATTTTATTCAAAAGTTAACTGTTGGGGACTTTTGAAATGAAAATTTACTTTATTTATTGAGGCCCAGTCTAGTTGAAAATAATGAAAACGGTCTATCAACCATTCTGGATATAAATTTGTATGCACCATGCTTAGAAAAATAAGAACAAATTTTATTACCTTGTCTTAATTGTAGTGGATTGAGGAAAATTTTAAAATAAAGTTTCGTTATATGTATAGAACTCAAAAGTTTAAATACCATTGTTCTTTATAATAGATGTAGGGAAACTATTGACTCTCTACATAGGAATTGACCATATTTTCAAAATAAATTATGTTAAAAGTTCTTTATTAACTAAACCATTTATTTATTAAAACAAAATGATAGAAATACAAGAAGTATATGTTGTTCACATGCGCAATCCAGATCTATGCAAGAATTGCGAGATATTTTGGCGCTGTTTCTTGTCATTCAATTGTGATAATAATATTGGGTACTGTGACACATCTGAAACAACGCTGCATAAAAACATATGCGCAGATAAAGTAAATTGGGCCTTGTTAAGAAAAATATCAATTGTTGCCATTTTAACAAAAATAAAAAATAAACAAAAATAGATATCTCCGCTTTGCCTTAACAAATAACTTGTGACCTTCATAAAAATGGCTGACATTTGTAAATGGCCATGTTATTACACATGTCGGAGAATTCGATAGAATAGCGCAAAAAGGAAAAGGTGCTTACTGATTTCACATAAAATATGATAGATACAATAGATTAAGGGTAATTGTTATTTAAATTCACTGTTCAAATTTCTCTGCTTTTGATATTAGATTTTCAGCATGCAAAAAATGACGCCACAACCGCATTCGTTTACAAACTGTGCAGATTCCCGAAAGTAAAGGAGTTAGGGTATGACGCCAAGTGCTCGGTACTTTGGAGTGAAAGTTGCGGGTCTTTCTGATGAGACCTGGTACGATAAAGAACCCTAACTGCTCAATGGCTGAGTAAAGGTCAAAATTTGAAGCCCTTCACCTGTATATGGTGATGTCTCTATATGAGTGAAAAATTCTCGAACGGGACGTAAAAAACAACACACAATCAAAAAGAACTCTCCTGATCCCTGTTTTGTCTTTAAAATCTTTATTTGACTGAAACCAACCCTTTCTTGATGTTCTTATTCAACTGGAAATAGACTGAAATATAAATATTTTTATTATTTGATTCTTGATGTACAATTTATATATAAGCTTGTTTTTTAAAATATATTCTAGATATTAAAAAAAACAACTTTTAAAAACAACTATATGCTTGATCATATTTTTTTTTATTTTTATCTTATCTTATAAAACCTTATTTTATGGATTTTTATTAATATTTCTCGCAAAACTTACTTTTTAATACATTCTGGGATAAAAACCACTTAATGTGCTGCTGCAAATATCCGACCGATATTTGCCTTACATACCGCCTCAAAGACTATCTAAAGGACATCATTGAGTTTATTTCAACGTTTAAGATGTCTTTCTCGAATGCTTCCACCGACTGAAGTAATACTGAAATAACAGTTTTCAACAGGGTCAAAATTCTTTGTTACGCCAAACAGAAAACTTGGATAAACATTAAGAGTATTTTTTGCTCAGATTTTCAACGAAGGTATATTTTATGACTCGCAATTCCATCTTGATACCGGTATATAACGATAGACAACTAAGTATACAGAACAAGAAAAAGTAAATTCAAAGACCTGGCAAACCCATTTTACAATGTATCAACATTCAGCTGATTATTGCTTATTTTGAACATTTTCTAATTCTCTTCCAATAAATGTGAATTGATCCTTTGCTTGAACAAACATGACATCCCTTCACCTGAAAATTTGCAAAGTGGTTTATTTAGAAGAAGTCGAAATTGTGAAAACTCAACAGACACCAGATGTAAAACGTTCAGATAAGCTCAGTTGGACCTGAGCTAAATATTAAGGAAATTGAAACAAGGCTTGGAAAATATTTGAAATCTTACATGCAATGAAAACAATTTATTTATTTAAATATTTTTTTACTTATTTATTTATTTATTTTCTGTTTCGAAATTTGTCCATTAAAAACATAACAATTAAAAACAATATAAATGATTGTTAAAATAGCCATATAAATCATTAGATAAGCATCCTTGATATTGCTGATTATCTATTTCTTTATAGAGATACTATCATTTAATATAGAAAATAAATCCACTGATATCTTTAAAAAAAAACAAATATCGAAGATATTGTTTAACACAAACACGTAACATCGTTTTTCAAAAGTCCGTTACAATCCCCTTCGCAGGCATGAGATCGTTTATCTGGTTTTCGAACACGATTAGGATCGATGGAGCCGTTAGAGAAGCGTAACGGTCACAGTTCATTAATTTTTACTGCCGAAATATGGCTGAAAAAATTGCCTATTCGGCGATAAACAACAGATAATTAATCAATCGAATTTCAAGGAGGGGGGGGGGGTCTGCCAGAAAAAAATTACAAGTTACCTGAAGACAAGTATTCCTTTCAAAGAAATGATCGGCATGGGATCATAAAATCAGCAATATGGAATATCCTGAAATAAGTTTTTAGACATTTCTTCTTATTTGAATTGACTTACTATAGATTAATATTTTTTCTATGGTATGTATGTATATATTAAATTTCACATTCTTTCTCAACTGAGTATGACGTGTAAAGGCATACCAAATTTAAACTGACGAACAAATTTTAGCCTGGCAATTTTGTTATATAGAGTAGTATGACCATATTATGTTGCCTTTAAAAAATATCTTGTAACTGAAAATATGTAACGTTGACATTTTTGTGAAACTGCAATGTGATTCCATGTTATGTTTTGGTTATGTGATGTGTCAAGCACTTTTTTTTAGAAATGAACATTAGGGTAAAATTCAAAATACATCTAAACTGAAATGGTGGGATTTGAAACCTCTTTATAAACTATAATAAACCACTTACCACTAACGAGACTTGAAACATTCGACAATGATGCCTGAAAAGTTGCAACTAATGTAGATAAATTTCTTTCCTTTGCCTTCATCGACCGTAAGTCAGAATCAAGTTGTTGGTTTTCTGTTTTGAGTTGCTTCACTTCTCCCTCCAATTGAGAAAGTCTTAATTCCATGGACTTTTTCAATGTCAACATATCTTTCATCAGGGATTGGACGTTATTCGTTAAAGTCATTCGGATAATGGTTTCTTGGTTGAGAAGCTGACGGACAATATCTGTACCTTTGGAATCATCAGTCACAAAGTCTCGGTACGTCTTTCCATCATTTTTATTCGACAGTAAGGATGAGGCAATTAAAAACCGACTCAATATACAAATAAACCAAATTCTCAGAAAATACAACATATTTTAAAGCTTTATGTCTTTGATCGATGTAGTCTGCAAGAAATAAACAAATACAGTGGCTTAAATATACATTCTTGGTGTTTTACTTGAGTTCTTGCTCAATGATTGGCTGAAAAATGATTTGTTAAATACATTCATACCTATTCAATGGTGTTATTCTGAGCCTGCGACTTTGTGTTATTCATATGAGCGAAATGGATTTAAATATCTTAATATTCTGAAGTCTCTTCAGTGAATAAATTACAAAAAAAAATTCAATGAACTATTTTTCTCAAAAAATCAAAGTAGCGTAAATTAATTACAGGATTGAATTTGTATTTTGGGAGAGTTGAATAGTGCTAAGCACCGTCAATTTATTTGTATTAAATGTTTGTTTATCATTTCTTTGAGTTCCAGGAAATTATATATTTTTATTTGCATTTACCATACATGTTTAAGTTGGAAATACAGTGAATTTCCTGAAATATGTTAATCGCTGAAAAAAGTGAACGGCTGTATGATTTACAGAAAAAGAACAAGATGCTGTCTATTTAATATAAAGAAATTGGCAAAGTTTGAATGTCCAGCACACCTGTTCAAGGATGGCATCTTAGGTATTATCAAGTTTAGTTATCTAGATAAAGGTAAATACGATTGCTCTTATATTTTCATTCGTATCCAGTTTATATTTTCAGGCTTTAGCATTACTTTACTTCATTCATATATATATATATATATATATATATATATATATATATATATATATATATATATATATATATATATATATATATATATATATATATATATATATATATATATATATCATATATGTATGATTTATGTACAATTTTATGTAATCAATGGATCACTTGTGTACCAAAGGGTTAATTAACTGTTCTATCCAAAATTATTGATTCAAGATATGAAAGGCAATAGACAGACTCTAAGGAAGAGTAAAGGTGTCAACACTTGTGTTATAACTTGTACATTATCTTATTTTTAGGTGTTTTGTCAACATATGAAATGTTCTACATTCTTATTTATACACTTATTTTGCAATGTATCTAGGTGTTTTTGCTTAACGTAAACCACATTCTTTTACTTCATTAATTGAAGTGCTAGAAATTATATCAAATTAAAAAAATGATTTAAGGAATAACTGTCTAATTTTGGGGTTTTATGATGAGATTAAGCAAATGGTTTGCGTGATAATTTGCATACACTATCTCTCTCTCTCTCTCTCTCTCTCTCTCGCCCCGCACGTGATTTTTGTAAACTACGTCTATCAATGAACCAGTAGTTTATGTAGAAATCAAGTATCTTTATTATTTGTAGTTTTATCTCGGACAAAGAAATTTAAAAATGTAAATATTTGAAGATATTGGTCTTAGCATGAGATTTAAATGCATATCTATGTAGTAATCTCGGTATGCAACAATAAATTCTAGTGAAACGTCACATCACTCGGTTTTAGTGACAGCATCGAAAAGCAAGTTCTTTGACGTGCTTAGATAGCTGAATACTCTAGTCAATCCGCTGGTTGGGGAGGTTATTCTATAAAGTGAACTTATTTGTGATATATATATATATATATATATATATATATATATATATATATATATATATATATATATATATATATATATATATATATATATATATATATATATGATAAGTCATATCAAATGCAAACTGTCATACGTTCACCATTTCAAACATACAAGGGGTCAATTTACAAAGTCACACATAGAGAATGTCACGTCAGTAGCGCGAATATACCCCCATGTGCTCCATCAAGTACAGGCTGAACAACGTTAACGCTTCCTCATGCTTCGTATACAAGCCCTAATGGGTTACATTGAGCATTGGGGTTGTTAATCCATTTTTTGGTCAGGCGGTCTCGAAGCTACTTGTTAGTGTTTAGAGGGTTGGTTCTATACATGTCTTCCAAGTCCATTCCAGAGATGCCCAATCGGGCTCAGATCTGGTGTATTTGTCAGCCATTCCACCCTCTTTATGTTGATCTGTTGGATGAAATCATACAATAATCTTCCGTAAAAGGGGTTTGACACTATCATCTTAAAGGAAGGCGTTCCAAGCCTTTACAGAAAAGGAAGAACAACGTAGTGTAGAGATCTTGAATATCCACCAATAGCATAATGTTGAGTCCTCTTCGCTGAAATACTGGCCAGCGCTAACACGAACCACCTCCGTAGGGATCATGCTCCCACGCAATAGCTCCAATAAAAAAACGTTCTCCAGGACATTGATACACATGTACTTTGCAATCACAAGAAAGTCCACTGAATTTGAAATATATGGAGATAACGAACAGTATTCAAGCTCAAAAGTCCATTAAACATTACAAAATTGGTGCAGAGCAAACACAGACCTCCAAAACATCAGAGGTGGGATCAGGTGCCATGGAGGAGTGAGCATCCCCTGCCGACCGGTCACACCCGCCGTGTGCTCCTTGTCATGAACGGGAAATAACGGAAAAATCCGTCGACAATTCACTGTGTAAATAATGGCCTAACAATAAGTATGAAAAACGTCAGTCAGCATTTGACTCAATGATAAATTGTATTTGCTGACAATGTCATTGTTTCGACCATAAAACTTACGAAATGATGACTTTAAATGAGACTGCTGATATTCTTGTTTCACCAATTTGTTTGTCAATAATTTACTTCGTTTTAGAAATTGTACATACATAGAGCATGCTCTTGCGTATCGAATCAACTGAATGATATAAACCCCGTATGCAGGTGATGAAGGTATATTGCTGCATAAGTAAGGGAAGTTGACGATTGAAAAGTTAAAGTCATCACGTTTATCATAAAGCTTGGTTGTTAGATTACCATTAACGTCTTTTTCAAGTAAAATATCCAAATATGAAACAGATGTGTCAGACTCTGTAGTATCTTTAATCTCAAGCTCACCGTGCTATATCGTAACGACATAAGAATGGAAATTACAATTGATAATTGACAATACGTCGTCGATATATGATTGCGCCCATGGGAAAAGGGCCCTTATGGCAATTTTTACACATTTTAAGTTTTTCATGGATATTAATAGAGCAAGGTTAGAAGTTGCCATATCTGAATTTTTACGGCCCTACGTCAACTCTAAGTAGGTTTTTTCTTCATTTATATCAATGATACTTTAACAGGTAAACAATGACGTCATGTTACTTTCGCACCAACGTCAAAAGTTTTCAGAGTGAACATGACTTTCACTTTGCATTGTAATGTTACTGCGGTAATAAACGTATGTTATTGAGCATTTCCAGAAACATTTTTGAGTCATTGTCTCTTTTAATAATTATATAAATGATAATAAATAGTTGTATTAAGTATTATCCATCATGCAGTGGTGTATAGAATTATGAGTGTTTGTTCGTTTGTTTGTTTTACATTTCACTATGCTGGAATGTCAGGAAAACCCGAGAAGCGAGCGGCTTCTGTTCAATATCAATTTATTCTCTCAAAACCAAAGTATTTATCTCGTGTAATAATCGTTTGAGAAACCTGTAGCATTCATTCGAAAATCATCTCATTTCAACCATGGCTCTCGATAGGACAAGATGTCATTTTTTTTTGGGGGGGGGGGGTTGAATCCAGTATAAACGATATCTCTTTCAAAATGTGAAGTTAAAAAATATTTCAAAAAAATTCTCGGGAACAACAATAAAATAGATGCTGCTGGGTAGTGAAAATTTGTTGTTTTTTTTTTGTTTTTGTTTTCTAAATATAATTAGACAGAAAATTTGTGAAATGTAGTGAGTTACTGTATACGCTGTACAACAATTTAAGGACATTGAGTTGATACACTGCATGTTAAGCAATATTCGATAAAAAAAAAATTCAAACAAAAAATCAGAAGGACTTCTGCCCGCATGTGGTAACAAAACTTCTTTTTTTAAATTGAAATGATACACATTTTTTCAGTCACAGCAAGGAAAATTTTTAAATAATTAATTTAAGTAAGCAGGTTGATAAATTATAAACAAATGGATGAATTATAATTCACATGCATTTAAAATGAAAGGAACAGATCCAGGATGACCAGTGGTTGGATTGTGTGTGTGGGGGGGGGGTGGGGGTGGGTTACATGTAAAAGTTAAATGACAGAAACATGCAATACTTGCAGTTAACATGAGTTTAATAGCATACGAGGGTTGTCTATTTTTAAAATCTTCCTACATTTTAGGTGTGCAGTGGGGATGCCTTCCCACCACCAACCCCATAACCTCCAAATACGTCATTTGGTTAGGTTTGAAATAATATTGAAATAATTCCTCAATTTATTTTTGCACCTTGAACTTCTCCTTACGTACATGTATACATGTATGAGCAGGATCATTTTCAAAACAAACAGCGATCATGAGCTCCACATGCCTGGAAATGGAAACTTAACTGCTATCAAATCTAGTTAATCATGAGAAAAATTGCGTCTTAGAATAACGATTTTGTTTGATTTTGTAAAATTAAATGGTTTTAGAAGAACATGTATACACTGGATATTAATAGATATCGGGTATTTTATTGTCATTTCAACAAATTTTATCTGAACTTTGAATGAAGTCAATATGTCAGAACACCCCCCCCCCCCATTTCTCGCGGCTTCTTTATCGTATGAAATTCTAATGTCATTGTTTTCAAGTGTTATTGTATATGAAGTTTTACAATATAAAAATTCCATTCTGGCCCCATGCCAGAGACTTGGATATGCATGCTTATCCTTGTAGTTAGGTCCCGGTAATATAAAATGACCCTGACCCTCTTCCCCGGTCTCCTGCACTGCCACAAAAATAAAAACTTGCAAACATATTCCTAGTCTTTTGTGTAGTATATTTTTAGCATTTAATTTAATTTGTACAATGCATATTTAAATACAATTTGATCTTAAAAAGATTTATTTCAATAAATCCAAATAACAAAATCAGCCCGTTTACATAATTCAACGGCAAGTTAAGCAATATCATACTAAACCGATAACTGATATTATTATTTCAATAAGAAAACGAGTTTTA